AATTTAAATATTTTTTTACATATTTGTGTTAAAGAGATATTCTAGTCTTGTAAAACATATACAGTATGTCTGTTTGTTATTTACTTATTGAGCATATGAGCACCATTTGAAGTAAATTGAAAAATCATTCAAATTGGTAGATAAAGAGTCTTACATTTGATTGTAATTTTAAAATGGATGTAAAAGATATTCGTTTGTTATATATAACGACTTATTAGAAGCGTTCTTGGGCTATAGTATTGGATTGTTAAATTTAAAAAAAAATTACACCAGAAGTGAAAAACTCATTTGTTTTTTATTTATGTCATTAAGACTTAAAAATATAAAGTTTTCTTGAATTACAAAAAAATGTAAGCGGATGTAAGTGGAGATATTACGTGCAATGTAAAGAGCCACCTTTACTAGAACATATCATTAAAAAACTGGCTGCCCCAAAGTGCCACTGCAAAAAATATAATGTTTTTAATGTCAAAATCCTTGAATTTATGCAAGGCACGTACAATGCACCATCAAACAATTTGTAATTTGCCGATATAGGTAAGTATATTCGTCGAAGAACATTGGAGTGGGACTGAATTACACTACAATACATAAGGCATATAGGTTGAAAGGCCCAGAAATGTTTTCGTTTTGGTATTCGGTATTTGGCAAGTGAATTGGTATTCGGCAATTTGTCGAGTTTGCCGTGGACACGCATCACGCGTTGCTTTGCAGAATATATTTGCAATTTTATTTTAGATTTAGGGAGGAAATGGGTTTGATAGTCGATGTCGTTAAACAGGGATAGGGTACAACTAACGATGGAAACACTGCGAGAAGATTTTTCCGAAACTTTGAAAAGTCATAACAAATTACAGGAATCGATGAATTGATTGCTGGAAAGACTATATACATTACTCCAAGTTTTGGTTTCAGGAAAAAAAATAAATGCCGAAAAGTTTAATAAATTTGCAAAAGAGACTGCAGAAGAGTTAACCTTTATAGATGGTATTACATGCCATCTTCTCTACACAAAATTTTAATACACGGAGCAAAAATCATCAGCAATTTTTGGTTCCCGATAGGGCATCTGTCTGAAGAGGCCTCAGAGTCTAGGAATAAATACTTTCGGAAATATAGAGAATGCCGTTCAAGAACTTTTGCAAATGAAGACATTTTACATAATCTTTTGTTGTCTTCCGATCCATATGTAACTGATATGCGTAGCTGTGATAAAATTCATAGCGATTTAACAGAGAAAGCAATATCTCTTTTGTTATAATATTTTTGTTTTCTTTTTTATTTAGAGATTAGTTCTTTTGTGAGTCACCCTGTATATTTTGTTAACTATTTGGTACAAAAGGCCATATTAATTTAGATTTAACAGAAAGTAATTTCTCATATGTTATAATGTTTTGTTTTCTTTTTTGTTTATAGATGAGCTCTTTTTTGTAAGACACCCTGTATATTTTTAAAACATCTGGTACAAAAGGCCATATTAATTTAGTTTTAACAGAGAAAGCAATTTCTTTTTTGTTATAATATTTTTGTTTAGATATTAGTTCTTTTTTTGAGACACCCTGTATATTTTGTAAACTATATGGTACAAAATGCCATATTAATTTAGATTTTTGTTGTATTTATTAAAGTCGTACATAAAAAACAGTAAAATAAAAGTATTAATTTCGAAATAAGTCAATGTCCCTATTTTCCTATGCTTCGATCCATTGTGCGCCGCCAGTATAAAAGAGTATGAATACAATAATAATAAGGTGGTTACAATGGTCATCGAAAATCGATGCATGTCACAATACGACCACCAGTAAACTGGTGGTTTGATTTCGGAAAAGGCCAATATTGACTCTGAAATTCAGCACAGGATTAGTAGCGCCTCAAGAGCATTCTGGAAATTAAAAGACAGGGTTTTCTACAATCATGACTTGAGTACAAAAACAAAACTTGCAGTATACCGAGCAATTATAATCCCCACCATGATATATGGGAGCGAAACCTGGGTGCCTTACCGCCGACACATGAACGCATTGAACAAGTTGCAACAGAGACACCTTAGACAACTCTTAAGAGTCCGGTGGTTCCATCATGTCTCAAACGTATCGGTCCTTGAAAATCTAACTGCGAGTATTGAAGTCATGGTCACAAAATCCCGCTTAAGATGGGCTGGTCACGTATGCAGAATGCAAGAAAACCGCATACCAAAATCTCTGCTTTACGGTGAGCTTGTGGACGGTAAGAGGAGGCCGGGTGGACAACTGAAAAGATACAAGGACATTTTCCACGGAAATTTAAAGGGAATTAACATGCAGAATGAGTGGAAAAAAGCAGCTCACAATAGAACTCAATGGAGAAGGGTTGTAAACTCAGTTAACAGCGGCAACCAAAAAGTAGAGAGGCAACAAAGCAATGAGATTTTTGAATGTCCGGAGTGCGGTAGGCAGATAACATCACGTATCGGGCTTTTCAGTCACAGAAAAGCTCATGAAAGAAAACGCCTTGCGTGACCATTTTCTTTATGTGTGTCGAATACTCGTCAGCGAGTAACGGCTGTATGTATGTATGTATGTATATGTATGTACCAGTAAACTCCATAAATTGACACATGGTGTCATTGATGACGTTCAAAGCTTTTTATTTTGGACGACTGATATAGGTATACGTACACTAATAAATGATACCTGCTAGCTTTATTAATTAAGATAAACAAAGGAACTTTCTTACAAGATTAAGTATTACAATACATAAAAAACAGTATTAATGAATTTTAGCATTAGGTATATTGGACGTGATATTTAGCGCTAGGGAATGTTGCTTCTTTGCTGGTTTGCCACTTTGAACCCTTTTAGCACCACGCCTAGATCCAACGGCAGAATTTCTTCTGGCACTGGCAGTTGGTTGCACTTTTATAATCCCTCCTTGTCTCAATGTCGGTCTGTTTATTGCAAAAAACGAGTCTAATTGTCTACCAGTGTTATCTTTTTTCAATGCGTTGGTCAATTTCTTGATAAGGTCAATATTGCATGTTTGAGTTTCCGCTAAATTGGAGATTCTACTCAACTCTGATTTTAATTCAGCCACCGCTGTTTTAGGTTCTTCGTTAATACTTTCTATAGAAAAAAATATTAGCGAATCATTTTACAAATATTTAAAACAACTTACGTTGTATTATTATTATTGGCCATACCGATTAAAACCTCTTGGGGTTGAAAACCCTTGACAAGTCTTATTTAAAGGAAAATAAACAGAGGTTGCGCTGCAACGAATTAGAGTTTCCTAGGTTGCATTATTTTTTATTGTTAATCTAAGGTTGTTATAACCGTGTGTATTTAGGAGCCTAATTTTTTTTTCAAGCGTCTCCTAAGGCGTTGTATTCAATTAGATTTTAAAACGATACGTTGTGACGGATTAGATTTTAAATTGAACAATAAAATTGAACGGGGGCGTTACTTGCGTTGCACTATATTAGATTTAGTAAATACGCAACCCGGTAAACTGGTAATTCCATGTTTTAAATTACCCTTTATTGGAAAATTAAAAAGTCGGTAAATTTGCAATTTCTAAAATATATTCTACTAATGTTTTTATACTAAAGCTATACTAAATGGAATGGGCATGTATTTTTTACTTAGTTTAGTGTTTTTTTGAGGTGTCAACCAGTTTAGCCAGCGACATAACAAAGTTCTGAGAACGGGGCTTAAAGCTTTACGCTAAGGTAGAGATGTTGAAAAGGTAACTACTCGTTACTCGAGTACTCGTTATTCATCGATACCCGAAGTAACGGGTACCGAATTTAAGAGATGTATGTGAGCACTAAGAAGAGATTTTTGGAAATTCGGTCGCTAAGGGGTTGAAATTAGGGGGTTAATATTGTAGGCTCGATTGTAGGTATAAAAAATTAAAATCTGTGAGTATGAAATTTCGCACGGACGCTCCTTGGGTGACGTAATTAAGGGCGATTTTTGTAAAATCGCCCCCTGAGTGAATGCAATTATTAGGGAGTTAATATTGTAGGTATAAAAGTTCTTTAAGTGATGTAAGTGAGCACTAAGAAGGGATTTTTGGAAATTCGGCCGCTAAGGGGTTGAAATTAGGGATAGAAGGTTGCATAAAAAGTTGTTAAAATCTGTTCTAAGTTCTAGGCTTGTTCTAGGAGTACGAAATTTTGCACAGAGGTCTCTTATGCGGCGTAATTAGACACTAAGAAGCGATTTTCGGAAATTCAACCTTAAGGGGATGAAACTACCCAAACTAGGGGTGGAAGTTTTTAGATTTTTTTTTAAATTTGTCGTAGGAGTATAAAATTTTGCGCAGAGATTCTTAAGTGACGAAAGTGGATACTCGATTTTTGAAAATTTATCCCCTACGAGGCTAAAGTTAGGGGTGAAAGTTTGTACAAAAATTTGTTAAAATCGCTTCTAAAAGTATGGCATTTTGCACAGAGGTTTTTTGGGTGGCATAATTGAGCACTGATGAACGATTTCTGGAAATTCACACATAAATCAGGGAATAAAACTGGTGGTGAAATTTTGTACACATAATTTTTAAATTAGTCCTAGGGGTATGATATTTTGTAAAGAGATTTCTAAGTGGCGAAAGTGAGTACGTAGAAGCGATTTTTTAGAAACTCACTTCCTAAGAGGGTGAAATAAAGGGTGAAAGTTGTTCCAAAAATTTGTTAAAATGAGTTTTAGAAGTACCTATGAAATTTTGCGTAGAAGTTCCTTAGGTAACGTAAAATGAAAACGTGGGTAATAAGAATCTATTTTTCAAAATATGTTCCTTAAGCAGGTGAAATTAGATACAAAGGTTGACAGCAGTTGGCGAAATTGACAGCAGTACTAAAATCAGAAAAAAGTTATCATAGTAATCAAAGTAACGAATATTTGAAATGATTACTTAGTACTCGAGTAACGATTAGTAACGAGTATTCAAAAGTAACAAAAATCAACATTACTATTTAGATTTAATTAAGTCAGAAAATACTGTTTTGATAAATTGTTTATTACCTTATTGAAATCTGCCAATTCCGCTATTTCTTCCCATAAACTAAGCATAATGTGTTGGTTTTCTTGAAGCTTGGAAAAACTGAATTCGCCCTTTCCCTCAATGATTGTGGCTCTTAAAGCTAGGCAGGCGAAATCTCGTTCATCTAAGAAACCATTATTATCCAGATCTGGAAAAAATACATTTTTGAATCAGGCTTAAGAGCTGTGTTTTTGTAAATGCATATATGTCAACTATCTATTAAAATTATATTTGAGAATGTAGAAGCGATTTAATTTTTTTTATTACTTAATTGTAGACATGAGCAAAACTGCGATTTGGACATCTTTTAACCGGCCAGGACAAGACACGAAACACATTAGACGATCAAATCTATTTTTCCAAGGCTCCTTGATTAAAAATTAGTGTATGTAACACAGCCGTGGCACTTTAGATTGAAATTTGAAATACTATTTTTTATGCGAAAATGTCAAAAGTTGACATATGATATGTCATTCTATTCAGAGTGTCATTTTCTATCGAATAAAGTGAAAATATACCGAGGGTGCAATTTAAAAATCAACAGTTGTAGTCATTTCCAGTGAAACAGGAAGTGACCAAAAACAATTGAATACCCATCAATCAACCCTAATTTATGTCATATACTATCATATCGAATGCCGTTTTTTTATATCAAAAATTAAATAAAATATAGGTGTGAGCCAATTTTGAGACACACCCGGTTTAATATATAAAGAAGTATGAACAATAATATATCTCCGAGTAATTAGTATAAGAATGAAATTAATATGAACCAGCTACATTTCAGAGAATGGTCCTTTAATCCAAATTTAACTTGTTTCCTAAACATTGCGAACCTCGAATTACATGTGGCCGTACAGATTTTTGCTTATTTTAAGGAAAAGATCATCGACCGAAAAATTCTGGCAAACCGTAGGTAGATGCATGATAGATGGTCAATAACTTTCGAGACATGTGTTTAGACAAATTGTCGATGTGAAAGATAACTACAAAAACTACTTTAATCTTTCCTTGTAGTTACGAGAATTGAATTCGTCATTAATCTACTTCTAAATATAAAACGTGAAACTCTCTATACACAGTGACCAAATGCATCAGTCTATTTAAACGTCAAAACTAATGTATACAAAAGATGGGTTATTTAAAAATAAGGTTATTTTGCAAATGATTTGGTTTGCTTGTACCTCTTAGCTACTTTTTTGGAAAAATAAAGATACCATAAAAATAATTATGGCCTCCTAAATATCCAGTATGATCTTGTAATTAATGCTATAAATGATATACAGGGTTGTTCACCACATACGACACGGAGTATTGTAGCTAAACGATGAGATTTTTACAAATTGTAACTTTTGGGTTCGTTGAAGGACTATTAGAGCTACAATTTAAAAATATTTTTACAAGATACAGAGTGTCCCAAATAAATAAAAAATATCAAAGTTGTATTTTTTTAAATGGAACACCCTGTATATTATTACATTTTTAGTTTCTACGATTAAAATAAAAGTAAATTTGATTAAGGTTTATTATACTTAAACCTTACCGTTTTTGAAATATTTTCAATTTTGTGAAATTGCAGTAAAAATTTAAAGCTTCATTTTCCAAGGGTATCAATGTTTTTAATACTAAATATTTAATGAAGTTTATTTATTGATCAGTTATTGTGTTGCAATAATAAAAATAATACTACCTTATACAGAGTGTCTAAAAATTTATTTTAAATAATTATTAGCTTCAAACGGCAATAACTTCTTTAATTTAAATGGAATGCCCTGTATATTTTAGGAGAATCAGATGCCCAATTAAATTGTCTATCAAATTGTATTATACCATTTTTTACCTATCCCTTCAAGTTATCGTAGAAAATGCATTTTCTTTTAATTTAGACCTCATTTATCAATATATCCATGGAATATTGACATTTTAGATTGTTTTTAAAGCAACAAATGTACAAAATGTACAGACTAGTAATATTATCGTTTTTAGCAAAACGATAATATTACTAGCCCATTTGTGTGCAAAAAGAAAACTATTTAAATCTTTATAAAAGAGTATACCATTAATTAAATATAATACCATTATTTCCGCCCATATACTAATTAATTACATACTTAATTGTTTTCGTTAATAAATTATTATAAATAAATGTGGATTTGAGTCAGAAATCAATATAATAATAAGTTATCAAATTAAAGTCTCTGTTGTTATAAATAAGCATCTATTAAAAAATGAAATATCATTTTTAAGGTGTTACTTTTTATCACACTGTCTAATGCCCATACAAAATTCAGTTTTTTAGTATTTGGAGCAATTATTATTAGTCAACGCAAACAGTCAGTTAATGTAGTTTGAATACTGGAATCATATTAATTGATCCTCTTTAACAAATATTTAAACAGTTTTTTTTTATTTTTAATGAAATAAATGAATTATATCGACAATATTAGTATCTGTACTCTTTAAAAATTTGGTACATCTTTAAAAATAATCTAAAATGTCAATAGTCCATGGGTAAATAAGTTCTAAATTACAAGAAAATGCATTTTCTACGGAAACTTAAAGAGATAGGTAAAAAATGGTATAATATAATTTCATAGACAATTAAATTGTGCATCTGATTCTCGTAAAATATACAGGTTGTTCCATTTAAATTAAATAAGTTATTGCCGTTTGAAGCTAATAATTATTTAAAATAAATTTTTAGACACTCTGTATAAGGTAGTATTATTTTTATTATTGCAACACAATAACTGATCAGTAAATAAACTTCAGTAAATATTTAGTATTAAAAACTTTGATACCCTTGGAGAAATGAAGCCTTAAAATTTTTACTGCAATTTCACAAAATTGAAAATATTTCAAAAACGGTAAGGTTTAAGTATAATAAACCTTAATCAAATTTACCTTTATTTTAATCGTAGAAACTAAAAATGTAATAATATACAGGGTGTTCCATTTAAAAAAATACAACTTTGATACTTTTTACTTATTTGGGACACTCTGTATCTTGTAAAATTATTTTTAAAGTGTACCTCTAATAGTCCTTCATCCAACCCAAAACTTACAATTTTACAAGTGTTATACGGTATCGATATTATTTTTAAATTTTCTTTTAATGTTTTAGGTATCATACCCATCGTGGATAAGATCACGGGTACGATGAAAACCGATTCCATCCGCCACAGAGCTTTAACTTCCCAGGTACTTGTTAGTTAATATACCAACTTATTAGGTACTGATATATCTATCAAAAACGCTTTTATTCTTGCTTTAGAATAACTGTTATATCTGGTCTGTTGAGCTCCATGTGTGTGTCCGTGATTATATCTTTGTCCCAATATATTTTTGCTATATCGTTCTCAACCACCGGCACGGGGACGTATTTATAATAAGGATTTCTATTTACAGGCTTTAGATTATATAGTTTGAGCAATTCAAGGTATACAATAGTTGCCACCCTATTATGCATTTCAAGGTATTTCGTATGAGCCAGTACAGAGCATCCCGACAGTATTAGGCCAGTAAACGGTAGCCGAGTGTTATATGTAAAGGTGGAAAAAATTAGAAACCAACCAATCTCAACGGGAATGTGTAGATAATGATCTCCTATTTAACCCCTCAAAAGTCCCATTCGGTCCCAGTGGGGGGAGTTTGAAAAAAACCGCCGCCATCTTGGATTTTTTCGTTTTTTTTTAAATATCTCCGTTAGCATAACTTTTTTCGAAAAAACTAAAGATATGTTTTTTGTAGAGAATTAAATTTAGAATATTCTTCCTTTAACAATTTTTTTTTCTACGTTTTTTTCCAGTTTTTTAAACCAATCAACTATAATTTTTGGCATTAACAGTATAGTGTTAATATAACTGCAACCACAAGTATAAATTTAAGCATTAAAACAATTAAAAATAACGTTCAAATATTATTTATTAAATAAAATTATCGTTAAAAAAAAGATATTATTAAATTATAGTTATTAAATAAAATCTGCTATGACGTCATCCTGATCGTCATTTTCGTCTTCAACTAAAATACAGAAGTTTGTACAACTGATTCCGTAGCACTAACCACACTTTGAAGAACATTTAAGACCCAGTTTTCTAAAAGAGCAATTTTTAGAGCATTGACTCTCTTTGCAATTGCAAAAAATTAATTTTAGTAGGCGAAACATCTTCTGTTGATTGAATAGGTGTCAGATTGCCTTTTTGATCTTTCTTCCATCCATATTGTAAAGGTTCTAACTTGTTACCAATCCATTCATGAATCTAAAATATACAACTTGTAATATTTCCTATAATAGATATATCTTTACAGTTACCTGAAAGTATGTCCTGAGTACATGGAGTTTTGCAGAGTTCTCAGTTGGAGGCAAATTAGCTAAATTAAAAGTAGTCTTAAGGGCCTGTCTTGATGTAATCCTATTGTATAGAGTGTATCTCAGATGGTTAATATGTTTAATATAGATAGCATGGGTAATGATATAGCTTTAAAAGATAATTTAATCCCGACTGAAACAAGTCATCTTTGTTACCATTTTTTTCTAAAAATATTTTGAGGTATTGACAAAGATTGTTATTTTTTTTCAGCACCGACATTTTTTTATTTTTTAAATAAAAACAATATGTGTTTCTTTGAATGTCCCATTTTGATTTGTACCTCAGATATTTTATCACCTTTTGCTGCTTTTCCCGGATGAAGCATGGATATATTTTTATGTTTTGAATGGTATATAAAACCATAATATCGGTATCCTCTGACACAACTGTTATATGTTTTTTTTACATAGATAATTCCACAGCTGTTGAGGCGATAAGAAAGTGTGAAGATTTTTTTCAAAAAGCACTAAAAAGTCGATTCTAAAAATATCCAAAATATCTGAGGTACAAGACAAAATGGGACATTTAAAAAACACATATTGTTTTTACATGCCATATCGGGCTGTGATACTACCTCCTTTTTATTTAAAAAATTAAAAAAAATGTGCCTGACGATACTAAAAAATACTAACAAAGGTGACTTGTTTCAGTCAGGATTAAATTATTTTTTAAAGCTATATCACTGCCCAAGCTGCAAAACTCCGTTTACTCAGGACATAATTTCAGGTAACTGTAAAGATATATCTATTATAGGAAATGTTATAAGTTATATTTT